TGGAGAAAACTTTCAGGGTTGCTAATTAATTTTATTTATGGAATATTGATTGTAGAGAAATTACAAGAATATTCGTTTATGTATTTGTAATTTGATTAAATTCATCATCAAAAGTTTTTCTCTAATAAAACTGTTACCACCGAAATAACGCTGATTTAGAGAAATTTTAATACTTTAACCTTTATTATATTAAAGAAAGAAAGAATTAGTAATTAAAATTAATATCATTAAAAAATTATAACGCTGTTATATTAGAGATTAATGATGGTATTAGAAACAAGAAGCGCTTAAGTTGATGACAGATTTGTGAACAAAGTTACTATGCGAGTTATAAATCATTATAATTGGCATTTGGGTAACTGGAAGAGTGCACACACAAACTTGCAATATGATATTAGTTTCCACGAAAATATTAACAACTCTAACGGAATATGGAAAAGATATTATCAATCTTGTAACTAAAAAAAAAAGTCTTCCTTCTATACTTTGTCATTTTATCTAAAAATAGACCTATATTTCACTAAAAAAATGGGTTTTCTCGGTTTTTTTTTAAAGTCTACTTTCATAAATAGCCTCCAGAAAATATACCATGTACAGTACAGTACAGTACATTTGCAACAAAGATTATTCTCTCAAACTAATTTTTCCTCCTTCTTTATTTTCTATGCGTAGAAAAATATCTTTATAATTATTATAATTTACTTTTTTATATAAATATATATATTTTTTAACTGAAAGTTATTTTAAAATTCGATAATTTTTATGAATATATGCAATTTTATACTAATAAATATTTATCGTGGCTTAAATACTCTCATTTAATTCGTCTTCGGATAGAAAAATAACCAAGAAACTAATTCTAAAAGACTTACGAACAATTTTATTACGTTTATAAAATGTAAAACACATTTTAAATTCATATTTTTAACACTTAAACGTACACACAAAACGATTATATCTGTATTAAATTCTACTTAAATATGCACGAAAACTCGCCAGAAAAAAAGACAAAATACTTCGTAAATCTGATATAATTTTTTATGTTATGTATAAAAAAATGTTTTGTATACTTTATAATTGGCGTTTTACATAATAATATAAACATAGATCTTAGTCACTAACGTTAAAATAACTTTCTGCTTCCTCTCATTAACCGATACATTGAATAACACGAAGTATTTATTCTGTATCTTAATTAATTACGTGTTTACTTTAATGCACAATATACAATTGATCTATTCCAGTGCTACTACTATTTTATTTTTATTTTTTTATTATCTGATGATATTGTATAATTGGTCTTTGTGACGTGAATCGCATGTTCGCACGCTATATTTTAATTCGTCATTAACTCGTGGGTGTGTTCAAAAATCTGACTTTTTTAAATATTCAAAACACGAAATACGAACCTTCTTCAAATATCCTGAATATATATATATATATATATTCAACTGTTTTTATCTTCGTTTATATATAAACGAATTTAAGAAAATCTGAAAAAAGTTTATTCCTAAATCTTATTATTGTTTTTTATTGTTTTACTGTAAAGTTAAATAATGTAACTAAACAATAATATACTGTGTTTTTGTGAATTCTTTAATATTTTCATATAGGATCATATTTATGAGGGTATAAATTGAGAATTCTACTAGAAAGTTTACAGTTTATTTAGCTATGTAATGTTTTGAAAAACTATTTCTCAATTAAATTCAGAATTGAAAATATAGATGAAGTTATGAAGTAAAATATACAGTTTATTCTTCCATCTTGCTGATTGTAGATTTGATTATCTACAAAGTGTACAATATAAATAATTTTTATTCTTTTGCTGACTATAAAAACTGAGTTTAAAAACTTTTGTAGTAATACAGTAGAGCATTGATTATCCGAATACCAATCAACTGAAACATCGGTTAACGAAATGCGCTACACATGGCAAATTCAAATTTTTGCTAGTGCTGTGGCATTGCAGCACTTTCCCCTCCCTGCCAACCCAAACTGTATGCCTACTTTAATGTACTACTTTATGTAAGGTATGTATTTGTAAGACATGTGATACAAATTATATACGATACAGTTTTGTATTTAATATATTTTTCATAACTGATCAATTATCCAAACAACCCCAGTCCTGAATTGTTTCAGATAATCAATTCTCTACTGTAGTATATTTTAGTATAATATTGGGTTGTTCAGAAAGTAAGTTCGTTTTTTTCCGTGGAAAAAAAAACAATATTTTTATAATAAATAAATATTTTATTGAATTATATATCAACCATTTTGGTCAAATACTTGTCACCGTTTCTGGTCGTAGCATTATTTTACATTCATAAAAGTTTTGATTGTTGCTTACAAAAAACTGATCCAAGTGATTTTTGGCATTGTCATTTCAAGTAAATATCTTAGTTAAAAAAAAATTTGTATAGACTGGAACAAGTAATAATCCGAGTGTGCTGGATCTGGCAAATATGGTTGGTGTGATAGCATGTCCCCTCTAAGTTATAACAGTTTCTGAGGAGTTACCAAACTTGTGTGAAATTTGACATTATCATGGTAAAACACTACACCTGTTTTGTTGATCAATTCTGGTCGCCTTTTCTGTTTGATGATATTACTCAATTTGTTTACTCGATGGCAGTACACTTTCGAATTAATTGTTAAATTATCTGGTATAAGCTCCAAAAAGAAGTTCCTTAAAATCCCACCAAAGAGATCATCTCTCTTTAAGAACATGTGGAACCCATATATCAAGCTTTGAAACGAAACCAATTTGTTTCAAGGAATCATAAACGGTTCTATTTGACAAATTTAATTTCTTAGTGATTTCACATGTTGTTATTCGGCAGTTTGCTTCAATCAGTACCTTTTATTTTGTTTTCATTCGCTTCAACTGGCCATCCAGAACGTGGTGCATCTTCAATATTGAAATTGCCAGAACAAAATTTTGTAAACCAGTTTTGGCACTATCATTTTGTCAATGCATCTTCTCTATACACATCACACAATTTTTTCTCGCTTGAAGAGTAGTCTTACCTTTTTGGTAATAAAAGAGCAAAATATGTCGAAAATGCTGCTTTCAATCTTCCATATTTGATGGGACACAAAAAATAAACAATTGCACACTCAAACAAAATTTTTTACAAATAAACCTTAAAATGTTAACTGTCAAAATATATAATGATAATACGGTTTAGAATGAAAATGGCGGGAAAAATACGGCTAATCTGTCTAGTGGTAAAAAAAACTAACTTACTTTCCAAACAACGTAATAGAACTTTTTCAATGAGTACAGTAAAATTGTGAATTTATTTTACAATCACATTAAGTGTGTTGGTAATACTAAAGAAAAAGAATCATTACAAATATCTTATATCTGACTAATTTGAAATTATAAATTTTTGAAGTTACTTTTTTATTTTCGCTGTTGGATTATATGTTTAAGATGCCAAAAGCTATCAATAATTAATAAAATATTTTGATAGTTCTTTTTACTTCTATGGCCTCACTATTTTATATTTCTGTGTATATACAGTCTACTTGGACCTTGTTTATTAAATTAATAGGACTTATTATACTGGTGTAGTTTCTGATTAGCAAAGAGTGATCTTAGTCAAAAGTTAAAACAAAATATCAAACAGGTAAAAATAAAGATATTTTGTTTTGACTTTTGACTAAGATCATAAAGT